TGCATGTTTTATATGTTTGTATGTATGTATGTATGTATGTATGTATGTATGTATGTATGTATGTATGTATGTATTTATGTATGTATTTATGTAAGTATGTATGTGTGTGCGTCTGTATGTATGTATGTCTGTCTGTATGTATGCAAAATTTTGTATGTATGTATGTATATATGTATGTATGTATGTATGTATGTATGTATGTATGTGTGTATGTATGTATGCATGTTTGTAAGTATGTATGTATGTATGTATGTAATGTATGTATGTATGCATGCATACAGTCAGGCATACAAACACATAAACACACACAAACAAACATACCGAAACATCAACTTACTTGCTTTTTTTCTGTCAACGGTTTTGAGGTACTTAGTAAAAAAAAGAGAAAATTTTGAAGGCTATGTGTCTATTTACTGGTATTTTATTAATTTCTCTTTTTTCTCTCCTACACTACTACTTTCTTTTTCTTCTTCTCCCTCTCTCTTTTCTTCTCTTTCTCTCTTTTTTCTTTCTCTCTCTTTCTCTCTCTCAAAGTTTTGTCATTTTTTAAAGTTTATTTTTAAACTTGAAATTCGCCAATTAGTGTTCGTAAGTAAGTGACTACGGGCTTGAGTTTCTGTCACTGCGTGTTTCAAACTGTCGTCACGGAGAAATGGCACGGCCGTGTTTTTATTTTAAATTTTTAAGAAGCCTTTTTTTCTATACTCGTTCTGGAAAAATTTATTTTTGCCTGTGTGTGTGTGTTTGTATGCGTACATGTACGGTCATTTGTTTGTGTGAATGCATGCGTGCGTGTATGTATTTTTTTGAGTAAATAATTCAACTTTTGAAGGAATGAATTAACCAATTTAGTTTTCAATTTAAATTTTTGTTGACTTGTTATCCCTACATTCATTCTTACATTCGTTTGTTCGTGCGCTCGTTCGTTCGTGCGTTCGTTCGTTCGTGCGTTCGTTCTTTCATTCATTCATTCTTTCTTTCTTACATTCAACACTCGCTTATTCATTTCGTTCACGAACTCACCTCTAATATAAAATTCGCCGCAAAACAACTCACCACCACCAAACAAACAAACAGAAAAAATGATGCTTCTCGGACGAACCACAACATCGGTAGCCCCGTCAGCAGTTACGTCATCATCAACGTCACCAAAAAACAACAACACGACAAAAAAGCAACGAAACTTTCTCTCTCGCTATCCTCTGACCAAACAAAGTTCAACAACCGCAATCCTCCAGACTAAGCAGTCTCTCACATTAAACGCGCCTATCATAACGCACACAGACGCCACACCAATGACTACACCACAGGGCTCGCCACACGGAGGCCCAAAACTGGGCGGCTGCGACTGCAACGATGACGACGATGACGTCGACAATGGTGATTTGAGGTGTGCCGTTGATATGGAAAAGGTTTTTGCTAAAAAAATGAAAAATGATGGTGGAGAGGATGGCGAAGACGTCGTCCTTGGTGGTGGAGTATGTGGTAGTTCTGGTAGCGACAGATGTGGTGGCGGTAGTAGGAGTGGTGACGACAACGGCTCTGGATTTTATGGCGATAGGATGGTAAATCCCAAGGATGATTTTTGCAATGTGAGTTGTTAACTTTTGAATAAAACACACACAAGAAACATACAAGAAATGATGCATAAACGCATAAACACACACACACACATACACACACACACTCATACACTAGCAAACAAGAAAACATACACACACACATATATAAACAAATACGTAGACATGATTCATAGCAGGCACATCCAAGCAAATAATTCTAAACATCTTGAAACACAAATCATCGTTCATCATTATTATCATTAGTTCTAGTAGCTTCAGTAAAATTAGTAATAGAAGTAGTAGCATTAGTAGTAGCAGCATTAGCAGTAGCAGCACTACTACCACCACCAGCTGCAAGATTAGTAGTAGTAACAGCAGTAACTGCAGTAGTAGCAGTCTTATTTCAAATAATGTTATTTTTTGTAAAAAAGGCCTGATTAATTTTTTATCATCGAGAGTCCTATTTAAGTTGCAAACTCGGGAACTTTTTTGTGTTTTTTTTTTCGCATTTATCACTGATGGATGAATGAATGGATGGATGAATGGATGGATGGATGGATGGATGGATGAATGGATGGATGGATGGATGGATAGATGGATGGATGGATGGATGGATGGATGGATGGATGGATGGATGGATGGATGAGTAAAGGAATGAAAGTGAAAATTATTTTGTAATATTATGTTACATTCATTTCAAAAACAGCAGAGATTCAACTAGAAATAACAAAATCTTTTACAACATCTATAATCAGACACGTTTCATTTGTCTTATTAGAGATATAACAAACTGAGTTCAGTGGTTAGCTAGCATTGCTTCTAAGTATTTTGAAGATGTTTTAAATTCTCCATGAAGCATCGTAAAACATCTTAAGTAAGTTGTAATACTTCTCGTAAAACCTGTATCGCCATCATTACGTCATCAACATCGTCATCATCTATCTGCTGGCACTAATGTTCTAAACAAATTTTTTTTCTGGAAAGATTATAAATATAATCATCATTTAAAAATACTTGGGTGTAGCAACATAACTATCATTCAACTACAGATACTGTTAGATATATACACATATATCTCTCATATATCCCAGATATATACATATATTTTCTATATATCCCAGATATATACACATATATCTCCTATATATTCCAGATATATACACATATATCTCTCATATATCCCAGATATATACATTTATCTCTCATATATCTCAGATATATACATATATCTCTCACATATCCCAGATATATAAATCTATCTCTCATATATCCTAGATATATACATAAATCTCCTATATATCCCAGATATATACATATATCTTCGTATATCTCATGAAAATACATTGTTATACTTTATAACTCAGCAGAGCTCCGAAACCAGAAAGTCCTGGCTAGCTATCCCCAGAGCTGACTTCAACAGCGTCGACTATGCAAACGCAAACGCTGATTGTGGTAGCAGCTGCAGCAGCAACAGCAACTACATCAACAACATAAATTCTGGCCGTAGCAACAGTTGCGACTACAGCCACATTCTAGCCAACAACCAAATAAACGGCAGCCGAATGAGTAGTAGCAGTAGTAGCAGTATCGGCATAGACACAAACAAACGCACGATTACTAATAGTAATAACAATAGTATAATCAATATTAACACCAACCAACACCTCATTAATAATAGAAATAATAATATTGTTGGTCGCAGCTGTAGTAGTAGCAGCAGTAGCAGTGGCCACAGTAACAGCTCGCAGCGGTTTCTCACTGTTCCAAGTTACACAGGGTACTATGATGCCGATGGCATCAAAGAGGTTGATGATGAGAATGATAATAATAATAATAAAAACAATAATTATTATAAAACTTGGAATAATAATGATAATAACAATAACCATAATAATAATGATAATGCATTTAAAAACATCAATAACAGCAGCAACTACTACAACAACATTAAGAATATTAATGTCAACAACAACATCAACAACAACATTAACCGTAGTAGTAACTCCCTCACAGTTCCAATATTTGACGAAGAAGCTTCAAGAAATGAACCAGCCAAATTAATGAACGAAAATTTTGACCATCTTTCTTTCAGTTATTCCCGGTTTGACGTCACCAACAACAACAACAAAAATAATAATAACAACAACAACAATAATAACAACAACAATAATAACAACAACAATAATAATAATAATAACAATAACAGCAACGTAAGTAATAATCACATTAACAAAAGTTTTCAAAATTCAAAAACACTAATTAGGCAAAACTCTATTTCCTGCGACAACCATCTAAACAACAACAGCAACAATTACAACAACAACAACAACAACAACAGCCACAACAACACCATCAAAAACAACAAACGGTCGATATCGTTAAGTCGCCATAATTCCGTTAAATCTAACAAGTTCACGAACAACAACAGCAGCAGCAACAACAACAACAAAGATCTAGAAAGATCCCAGCTGGTTGATGACGTCATAACCAATTGTGATGACGACGACGATGAAAACGATGGTAATAGACGCGGCGCTCATGATAATGATGACCGTTTCGGAAAGTTAATGATAATTAGCAACAACAACAACAACAACAACAATAATAATAATAATAATAATAACAATAATAGTAATCATGATTATGATTACGATGATGAGAGTGATGATAATGAAAAATATATTGATGTGAATATATTTTTGTTTTCGTTTCGTTTCGAATTGTTTCATAATTTTTTTTTACAATTTTCAATTTGTTATATTAAAATAATTTAATCAATCAATCAACTATTTATTTTTATGAATAATCAACCAACCAACCAACCAACCAACTAACCAACCAATCAACCAACTAACCAACCAATCAACCAACCAACCAACCAACTAACCAACCATCCAACTAACCAACCATCCAACTAACCAACCATCCAACTAACCAACCATCCAACTAACCAACCAAACAACCACCAACCAACCAACAAACCAACCAACTAACCAACCAATCAATCAATCAATCAACCAACCAATCAACCAACCATTCAGTTTTGCAACCTTGTCTTCTGCGGGAACATACCCAGAGCAAGCCTCACTAGATATTCATACTCACTATTCTTACTAGCCCCTAATAACAGGTCTGCGCAATAACATCATCATTATCACGATCATGATTATAATCAGATCATCATCATCATAATCAGATTATCATTATCATCATCGTCATCATTCCAACAACCTTACCACTACCATCATCATCATCACCACCACACCACCATCATTATCATCACCATCATCATCATAGTCACATCATCGTTGTAATCATTGTCGTAATCATATCATCATCATCATTACCATCAGTATCATAATCATTACCATAATCATCACCACCATCATCGTCATAATCATCACCATAATCATCACGACCACCATCATCGTCATCATAACCAGATTGAGAAAGTGGTGTGCCAAAGTGACTTCGAACAAGGCGTTCGATTACACGATCCTCTTCTTCATTACGCTGAACTGCATCACCCTAGCCATGGAGAGGCCTGACATCCCGAATGACAGTGCCGTAAGTCAGACGAATGGATGGATGGATAAACGAATGAATGAATAAATGAATAAATGAATGGTGTGTAAATGAATGGGTGTATGGATGGATGGATAAATGGATGGATGGATGGATGGATGGATGGATATATGGATGGATATATGGATGGATGGATATATGGATGGATGGATGGATGGATGGATGGATGGATGGATGGATGGATGGATGGATGGATGGATGGATGGATGGATGGATGGATGGATGGATGGATGGATGGATGGATGGATATATGGATAGATGGATATATGGATAGATGGATATATGGATAGATGGATATATGGATGGATATATGGATGGATGGATGGATGGATGGATAGCTAGATGGATAGCTAGATGGATAAACAAATCGATGTTTGTTCGAGTTTTTTCATTAATCTAATTTTGATTTGAATGAACTAACTAACTATCTCATTGTCATTTTTACCGACATCATTACTATCATCATCCCTATCATCATCATCAACAACAACAACAACAACAACATCAAAAACGCAACATCAGCAACAGCAACAATAAAATTATCATCGACAACAACATCATCATCAGCAACAAAATCGTTATCAACAACAACATTAACAACAGCAACATTAACAACAACAACATCATCATCAATAACATCATTATCAGGAACGACAGTTCTTAACGATTTCAAACTACATATTCACGTTTATATTTCTTGTCGAAATGATTGCCAAGGTTTGTTTGTTTGTATGTTTGTTTGTATGTTTGTTTGTTTAATTGTAATGTATGTTTTCATGTTTGTTTGTTTGTATGTTTGTTTGTTTGTATATTTGTTTGTTTGTATGTTTGTTTGTTTGTATGTATGTTTGTTTGTTTGTTTAATTGAAATGTATGTTTTCATGTTTGGTTGTATGTTTGTTTGTATGTATGTTTCATGTTTGTTTTTTTTAACTGTAATGTATGTTTTCATGTTTGTTTGTTTGTATGTATTAGTATACGTACGTATTTCTGCACGTATGTAGAGTTTGTATGAGAAGTTTAAATATTCTTGAGGTAGCTACACTGGATAAATTCTTTTCCCGCCATTTCTAGGTAACTGCAAAGAGTCTCCTGATCGGAAGGCACGCGTATTTAAAGAGTGGCTGGAATGTTATGGATGGGATCCTGGTGGCGATATCTCTATTCGATGTTGGTGTGACCATCATTGACAGCAGTAGTAGGCATAGTTTTGGCATCTTGAGGGTTTTTAGACTGCTACGAACTTTAAGACCTCTGAGGTTTGTTGTGATGGTGATGGTGGTGGTGATTGTGGTTGTGGTGGTGATTATGGTGAGTGTTGTGAGGATGATGAAGATGATGAAGATGATGAAGATGATGAGAATGACGGTGATTGTGATTGGTTAGATTGAAATTAATTAACCAACCAATCAATCGACTAACTGACAGCCATTCATATGATTGATCAATTTTTCAACTAACCAACCACACTAACCCAACCAACCAGCTAACCTAAAAACAATTGATTCTTCAATCAACCAACCGAACCAACCCAGCCAACCAACCACCCACCCAAAAAATCAAACAGGGTTATCAGTAGGGCACCGGGTCTTAAATTGGTGGTCCAAACCCTGCTATCCTCTCTGAGGCCAATCGGAAACATTGTACTCATATGTTGCACATTTTTTGTCATCTTTGGCATACTCGGCGTCCAAGTTGGTGTTTGTAGTGTATTTGAAGGATATTTTCATAGTATTTCAATAGTAGTTGAAGAGTTCTCAGAAGTATTTGCAAATGTATTTTTTAATTTTTAACATCTGCTGTTTAACCATTTTTAATCGATTGATCAATCAATCAATCAACCGTTAAACTATTCAGCCAACCAAGCAACCAATCAACCAACCAGCCAAACAACCAATTAATCACTCATTCATTCAACCAACCAATCAACCAACCAACCAATCAATCAACCAACCATCCAACTAACCAACCAATCAGTTATTCAAGGGAACATTCTACCACTGCGAGGGCCCTGACATAAATGACGTCATCAACAAGACGGACTGTATGAACAAGGGCCAGCCCTATCGGTGGATTAATGCCAAATATAATTTTGATAACTTGGGGCAGGTATGATTTTTGTTTAATTTTCTATGTTTTTGTTTATTTTTATGTCTAAGCTTTTCTTTTTGTTTATATTTGTTTGTTTATCTTGATTATTATGTATGCTATATATATAAGTGTGTGCATGTGTGTGTGTGTGTGTGTGTGCGTGCGTTAAAAAACACACATAAATATAAACATAAAAACCTAGAAAGAAAAAAACATGGAACATAAACATAAAAACATAGATACATTACAGACGTAATAGCATAGATATAAAAAAGCATAGATATAAAAAAGCATAGATATAAAAACATAAATTTAAAAAACATAGATATAAAAAAGCATAGATATAAAAAGCATAGATATAAAAAACATTGATATAAAAAACAGATATATAAAATATTTTAGGCGTTAATGGCCCTGTTCGTGTTGGCCTCGAAGGACGGCTGGGTCAACATCATGTACACTGGCTTGGACGCCGTCGGGGTTGATCTCCAGGTAATCGTAATTATCATAATTTATGCTAATTATTGCTCTATATTTTTACTTTATATTATAATAATTTATTCATAATCATGGTTGTTTGTTTGAATAGAGAAGGCCTGGTTATTTTGGCCATTATCTGACCCAACAAAAATTCGTCGGTGTAGATTTGTGATTGCCTCTTAACCAATCAAATTTGGCGTATTATATTTTTATTATTTTACTCAACCAATAAAATTTTATTTTTAAATTTCTTATTATTGTAATAATTTCTCGTGGCCAATAAAATTCATTTTTCTATACCGTCGTTATCATAATTAATTACTTAATATTTATAATTATCTCTTGACCAGTCAAAATCATACTTATAAATAGTTTGCAACTAATCAAAACTTTATAATTATCTTTCGATTAATCAAAATAGTTTTTGTACTCATCTCTCGACCAATCACAACCCTCATTATTCCCTCTCGACCAATAAAAACCATTCTTTCAAAAGCCCCAAGAGAACCACAACGAATGGTGCCTAGTCTACTTCATATCCTTTCTCCTATTGGTTGGATTTTTTGTCCTCAACATGTTTGTGGGGGTGGTTGTTGAGAATTTTCACAAATGTAGAGAAAGCCAAGAGATGGAGGAGAAAGCCAGAAGAGAAGCAAGATACGCTAAAAAATTGGAAAATAAAAAAAGGAGTTAGTCTTGTTATTGTTGTTGTTTATTTGCTGTTATTCATAAAAACACACACACACACAATTTGTTGTTATTCATACAAACATACACACACACAATTTGTTGTTATTCATACAAACATACACACACACACAATTTGTTGTTATTCATACAAACATACACACACAAACACAATCTAAAACACACTTACACATACATACACGGGCTAAGACACACATATGCACACATACATATAAACAAATACATACACACCCATCATAAAGCATGTGTTGTAATAGAATTGACGAACATGCCTACTTAAATACGAATACCTGCAAACACACTCCCACACACACACACGCACACACTCACGTATATATATATATACACACACACACAAACAAACACACAGATACGCATAAAATCTATAGAGCTAACATTACACAACCTACACCTTGCTAAGTTATTTTTTCCTTTAGATATTATCGTGAAACTTGCATATGCTATTGTATCAGGTATCAGACATATTATTATTATTATTTTATTTTATTATTATTATTTTATTTTATTATTATTATTATAACTGTTTATTCTTCTAATTTTGTAACCTGTGAAGTTGATGAGTGTTAATTTTTTCCAAAAATAAAAAACACGTTAAAATCTATAAGCAATGAGATAATCTTTCAGTAAATATAAATTATTATTTACAGATATATATGTGTGTGTGCGCGCGCGTATGTTTATTTGTATATATGTGTGTTTGTGTGTGCGTATGTGTGTGTTTGTGTGTGTGTGGTGTGTGTGTGCTTGTGCGTGTGTGTGCGTGTGTGTGGGAAAAAGCAAAGTTCTGCATGTTAGCCAAGAAATAACTGAATAACTGATTATAGAAGCAGAAGAGAACGCATACATAATATTACAATATTTTTGATTAACAAAGGACAAACATACAATCAGACATACGTTCATGCATACAGACACGCACACACACACGCACACACTCATACACACGCACACACACACACACAGAATTGTTAGAGGCGCCATATTGGTCAAATTACTCAAAAATTCGACTCTGGTTCCATACTGTTGTCTGTAGCAAGTACTTTGACCTCGGCATTTCAGCAGTTATCTGTTTTAACGTTGTCACTATGTCTGTCGAATATCACAACATGCCTGTGGTTAGTAATTTTACTGGTGTGTGTGTGTTTGTGTGTGTGTGTGGAGTGTTTTTTGGTTTGTGGAGTGTTTTTTGGTGTGTGGAGTCTGTTAGAGGTGTGTGTGAAATTTTGGCTGTTGTCTGTTTCAACTCTTTTTTTAATACTTTTGAGATTTATAATGTGTCTGTGGTTGGAATTTTACTGGTGTTTGTTTGTTTGTTTGTGTGAAGTGTTTTTGGTGAAGTGTGTGGATTGTGTTAGAGGTTTGTGTGAAATGTTGGCTGTTGTCTGTTTTAACTTTTTTTAAATATGTCTATTAAGTTTCATAGTTTGCCTGGGGTTGGAATTTTACTGGTGTGAGTGTTTGTTTTGAATGTTTTTTGTATGTAGAGTGTGTTTTTCGGCGTGTATGTGGAGTGTTCTGAGTTGTGGCATTTGTTTTCTGCCATCAGTCTATCAAATGTTATAATAATATGTCTCTGGAAAGTTATTCTATAGAAGTGTTTATGGAGTGTAGAATTTGTCTTTGTAGGTGTGTGTTCTTAGGAGTGTTTTTTGGTAAGTGTGTATGTGTTTAATGTGTGTGTGTGTGTGTGTGTGGGTTTGTCTGTGTGTGAGAGTGTGTGTGTGAGTGTGTGTGTGTGTGAGTGTGTGTGTGTGTGTGTGTGTGTGTGTGTGTGTGTGGTGTGTGTGATGATTTTGTTCGGTTTTTTGTTTAAACATCGTCAGTAAGAATATTGAACATCACCACATGCCTAAAGTTAATAAAATTGCCGGTATATATATATATATATACATATATATATATATATACATATATATATATATACATATATATATATATACATATATATATATATGTTCGGGTGAAGATTACACCCCATTTTGCAGTTAG